AGACATGCACCCTCTTTCAATTAACTCGGGGATAAACAGTTATGCTACAAGCTGATGCACTCAACTGACATAGCTGTTTATCTAAAATAAAGGCCACCCTCCAGCCCTCTTTGTGTTGAGGTAAAGTCAGCATTCTTTGCAACACCTGTGGACATTTACAGCCTGCATTATTCCCTGAGCTTCATGGGCAAGTCACTCTTGCCTGTCTCCTCTGAGCCTTCTTCCTTTGGAGGAGTTTATTGGTCTGTCACATGCTGGTAGGTCTTGAGTACGCATTGACACCACAGCAGTGTATTGGGGAAATGCTGCCGTTGCAGCATGGTATCAACTGTGTATTCGATTGACAGAGCTGTGCTGTGACCACATAGGGATATATAAAAGCGGGCCTGCTTTTTTAGGTCTGCAGTGTAAAAGCTTGCAAATAAAAGGGTCTAGTTTCGATGTCCGGAAGCCACATCCTTCAGTTCTTCACAACCAGGTTTCCAATGATAGTGGGGGATCAAATGGATTAAAACACAGGATTTCAAAAGAAAGGCAAAACTCTCCAATGTCTTGCCTGCCCAAAGCTTCAACTCCTCTAAAATTCCCCTGGAAATCGGAGCCAATTTGTTAGGCACCTGGCATTTTTACCATACCAAAATAGATGCTATGTTTGAAACTGCACATTAAATACTTTCTACTTGGGGTTATACTTCAGAAAGACTCATAAATCATCAGTGCTGGATGGCCACCTTCTCTCCTGCCCTCATGCATTTCCTCAGCATGCTAAAATACTGCAGCCTCTTCAGCTTGAGCTGCTGAGTAGCCTGTCACATGAGGGCTCCTCGTCTCCTTGCCAGTGGGTTGGCCATCCATTGCATCAGGCTATCAAGGACGAGTTTTTACTCTCGTTGGCTGATAGCAGCGTGTTTCAGTGGAAAACGCATGTCATTCGTGGGAAACTGAATGTTACGCAGTGACATGCCATCACATCAGTGGAACCCTACAGGGAATGGTGATGTAAAAATTAACCTCAGGCACATCTGGTTGCTCTTGGTAATACTGAGGAATGGGGGGGTCGGTGCTTACTGAATTGGTAGTCACAAGGTGCGGTCATCTCACTGGTTCCCTGCTGTTAGCGAGTAGGCAAGGTCAGTCACAGTAATTTACTATTTCATTGTTGTAGTGGAAAAAGAGTCCTTTGATAAGGTCTGTGATACGAAAATGAACAGATGGGCAAATGAGACCTGCTTCTGTGTTTCGTCCTTGAAGACACATTCTGGGAAAGAGAAGGATGCATGTGACATATTCAATGGCATGGCTAGTTTCAGAAGGAACACACTAGAGGCAGTTCAGGTACAAAAAGTGCACTGCGGTTTCTTTTTGCTTGGAATGGATGTGCTCTTTTGGGGACTTCTTGTTTTTCTCACAGATATTCATCAAATATCAGGGGTTTTCTGGTCTTCGTATTCTCTCAGGGTGTTGTTTTATCATTGGCATGACTCGAGCTTATTCATGGAGTGTTGTTGTTGAGACCTTGATCTTATAAGTCAGTTCCAAATGAAGACCTGAAAGTATGTCATGAGCAAAAATCAGAAGGTTGTTTTGAAGGAGGAAATCGTAGGAAAAGCCAGAAGGAGCTTGGTCAACAGCTCTGGCTTTCAAATTCAGTTTTATGTCAGGCAGCTAAAACTCATCTGCAGTGTCACTTTACATCTGATTTTGGGTTTCCTTCCTTGACTCAGATGAATCATTGGTCATTTAAAGTGAGATGAAACCTTATGCAGAGTCTCTGTTGGAGAGGAAAATGCTTGCAGCTTTGATCCCTTTCAGTCAGGTAGAGCAACAGTTGCTCTGCACGACTGTGTGAAGAAAACCAGTAACAGTTCCTAGCAGGGACTGGGCAATGGGGCTAGAAAAACTTCAGGCATGAAAAGGGGTCAGTTTCTAGTTACTGGTGTGATTCACCTGGCGAAGACCCAGGACGTGTCATGTGACACACCTGTTATTGACTGAGTGTTGGCTGATCAGGTACCTTGGTTTGAGCTTGGACTAATCCTGGCAGATAGATGCCCCTGAATGCTAGCAAACACATTCGTCTTTGTTTACATGATTGGAAAGAGTACAATTCTGTATTTAGGTGCACTGCCCACAGACCGATTGGTTTATGATAATTTATAATCATTGTGAAAAGGTGTTTTATCTTCAGTTGTTGGGCAATCCAGGAAAAAAAACAAACAGAAGAATGATATCGAGCTAGTTAGCTAAATAATAACTGATAGCATTGATCTGTGTGAATTTTGACAGCTGCAATAGGAACTTTGTCATCTTGCAGGAGTAAAAATTGCCAGTGGAGAGACCGCAGCCTCATACTGAAGACGGCATCATGCAAGTCCTCCTCCTCCTCGCAGCTGTAGGGTTTTGCTGGGCGCAACCCTAATATTCTCTCTGGGAGGACGTCTATTGTACATCTCTTTGAATGGCGCTGGGCGGATATTGCTCTTGAGTGTGAACGCTATTTAGCTCCTAATGGATTTGGAGGAGTTCAGGTAAGTTGTTTCCTGTGAGTAGGTAGGAAGGTGGTATTGTAGCATTCGATTAATAAATCAAAATGCCTGAATCGGAGACAGCCAGCTGCTTTGGTGATGGAAAGGGGGGGATGGAAGTAATAACTGCTGTTAGACGCGACCCTAGATCCTGCAGGGCCAATGAATGATATTGTGTCTCTAGCAGATCAGTTACGAAGGGGCACACTTTCCTCTGAAACACTTGCCCTGCAAAGCTGTTTTCCTCTTTACCTTGTTCTGAGGGAAATGCATAAGCGTGGCATTTTGGCTTTCCTAAGGATATCACTATTCCAGGTAAAAATAATTCCTGTGGCTTCAGCCCTCCCATTTGCGTGTCCTTGAAAGCAGGCCCATGCTGGACATGGGCAGCCCAGAGGAACAAAAGAAAGCTTCTTTCTTGCGAGTCTACAAGACGGACATCTCACAGACCTAAGCTTATGCTGTGGGAGAGAGAGACTGGGTTGGGTGCTAGCCTGCCTCTGAGGGCAAAGGAGCTGAGCGCAGATTTTGCCTTTAAAACATTGAAATAAACCCAATTGATTTCTTATCAAAGTACATAATTTCATCTGCAGGTTTCACCTCCAAGTGAAAATATTGTCATTACTAACCCAAACAGACCCTGGTGGGAAAGATACCAGCCCATCAGCTACAAGCTCTGCACTCGGTCAGGAAATGAAAATGAATTCAGAGACATGGTGACCAGATGCAACAACGTTGGAGTAAGTGCCTTGAAAAGCTGTACCTGATACAGCAAGAAGTGCTGTTTCAGCTGAAGGAAGTTACTGCTGCTGTCCTCAAAGGAGGCATAAACTGAGAATAAACTGAAAGGGAAAAAAAAATCAAATTAATACGGATATGGTAAAGCTCTGGCTATTACTTCACCATCATTACAAAACACACTGAAATGCCCTTATGACTTTTCCAGGTTCATATTTATGTGGATGCTGTTGTCAACCACATGTGTGGGGCTGCGGGTGGCGCAGGTACCCATTCTACCTGTGGAAGCTATTTTAATGCTGGGAACAGGGATTTTCCAGCTGTGCCATACTCTGGCTGGGATTTCAATGATGGCAGATGTCGAACTGGAAGTGGAGAAATTGAAAATTATGGTGATATATACCAGGTAACATTCTCTGGCAAAAGTTTGAAATGTTTTTCTTTTTTTTTTTTTCTTTTAACCTGTTGTGTAAACGTTACAGTAAGGCCAAACAAAGGGAGTAGTTTCTCACAAAACTTGTGCTTAGTCACCTGACAAGTGAATGAAGTAGTGAACATAGGTCCAGGAAAGGTACTCGTGGTGCAAAATATTCTAAGTACTGAGAAATCAAGAACCCTCCCCACATGTTTCCCGTGGGCGTGTGCAGGAGTTTGCTCCTGAAGTGATCCCAGTGTACGTGGCTCAGCCGGTGAGCTCTTTCTTACAGCTTGTAAACACAGCTGATCTTGATAAGGAGCCCCCTTGGAAAACTGACAGCAGTGCAAGGTGGTACCCTGGTTGAATGACTTACTCTTTTTTGTAGAGGGAATGTGCAGCAGTTCTTTTTCAAGGTTATGGCTCTTCCTTTGGCCACTTTGCAGCAATACACCATGCCGTTTCGCATCCTCAATTCTGACGACATCTGCACAGGGAGGTGATATCCTTCACCAACTGTCCTAACTTGAGTATTGAGCTGTATAGTAAATTTATCTATGTCTTCGTGCAGACCTTGGCATAATTCTCTTCTATGCAAATTATATATCCAAACAGAATCATTTTATGGCTCAAAACGTCCAAACTTTTCATTGGAAGGTTTTAGAGGCAGACAGAGTGGCACCTTGAAACTTTATTTTTTTTTTTTCATTACACAGGTCCGAGACTGCCGCTTGGTTAGCCTTCTTGATCTGGCCCTGGAGAAGGACTATGTACGCTCAAAAGTTGCTGAGTACATGAACCATCTCATTGATATTGGTGTAGCGGGCTTCCGGATTGATGCTGCCAAGCATATGTGGCCTGGGGACATAAGAGCATTTCTGGACAAGCTGAAAAATCTAAATACTAAATGGTTTTCTGCAGGAACAAAACCTTTCATTTACCAGGAGGTAATCTCCATGTTTTTTCCTTTATGTTTGTCTTTGTCTTTGGTATCTCTTTTACCTTCCTCCTTCAGAGGAATGGTGGTAATACATCTTCATCCAACTTTACCCCAGAAAGAGCTAGCCATTTCTTTGGAGCAGCCCTGCAGAAATAAGTAGTTTTGCTTTTTAAAAATGGCTCCACAACAAATTGTCATTCAACTTTACCTTTTCTTCCTTCAATCATGTTTTTACCTGTATGCATCATGTATTATACCGAGTTTGGGTTGATCTACACAGCAGAAATAAACATACTTTAATATTTTTTCTCTCAATGTAAAGCAAGAACTAATGTTGAGGACTGTACACTGCATTTTTTGTCTCTGAGAGATGAGAACAGATGCATAGTTTCTCCTTTCTCTGCCAGGTAATTGACTTGGGCGGAGAGCCGATCAAAGGCAGTGACTACCTTGGAAACGGGCGAGTGACAGAATTCAAATATGGTGCAAAACTGGGGACAGTGATCCGCAAGTGGAACGGAGAAAAGATGGCCTACTTAAAGTAAGGATGAAGATGCTGTGACTTTTTTGGGATGTGCTGGATGTGCCAGTTGACAGGGCAGCTTCAAATCTTTGTGTTCTTGGCTAGGAACTGGGGAGAAGGCTGGGGCTTTGTGCCTTCCGACAGAGCCCTGGTCTTTGTGGACAATCACGACAACCAGCGGGGGCACGGGGCCGGTGGAGCTTCCATTCTGACCTTCTGGGACCCCAGGTAAGGGATTTCTCTTGTCTGGGTGATGCTTCTTCCTTTTGCTTGTTTGTCTATCGGTTCCCTGGCACAGTTTCTCTTGCCACGTCTCATTCCTTTTTTTGTCTACCGAACAGGCCTTACAAAATGGCAGTTGGTTTCATGCTTGCTCATCCGTATGGGTTCACACGTGTGATGTCGAGTTTTCGCTGGCCAAGATATTTTGTAGATGGACGGGTAAGCTTGTAATGCTGAAGAGAAAATCACGGTGAATAAGGATCCCAACAAGGTCCAGAGAAGCAGTCCAGTGCATTTAAATTTGTTAAGAGATTTCTCTGTCCCGTGTTGGATCTAGCAGGTGGAAATTTGATGCTCCATCTAGCTTTTCTCTACAGATAGGCTCTCTGCGTTTTCAGTAAGAAGTTTTAAACTTCTCTTTTCAATTACAGGACATCAATGACTGGATGGGACCACCAAGTCACTCGGATGGATCAATAAAGCCTGTTACAATCAATGCAGACACTACCTGTGGCGACGCCTGGGTTTGCGAACATCGCTGGCGTCAAATAAAGTAGGACGCTGTGGAGAAAAAAAAAGTGAAAGCAGTTGCTTTTGCTTCATGTTCCTCGTGGCTTTAGAGCCCTTGCAGCCACAGTGACAGCCATTCCTTGCATTTTCAGGAACATGGTTATCTTCCGTAATGTGGTGGATGGTCAGCCTTTCTCCAACTGGTGGGACAATGGCAGCAATCAAGTAGCTTTTGGCCGTGGTAATAAAGGCTTCATCGTTTTCAATAATGATGACTGGTAAGTCAGTGGGATAGACTATGTCCCCAGAGAGAAATAGAGCATCCCTCATCAGCAATACTGATGGGAAGGGGAGTGTCCGCTTCTCCTTACGAGAGCAGTCACTACAGCCTGAGCTAGAGTCATGCCCTTGCATGCCAGGTCTAGAGAGCCAAAACAGGAGCGTAGGGAGCGAAGCAGGGATAGGATCAGAAAGCGCACACTTTGCATTGCCCTTCAAAGTAAGGGTGTAGCAGCAGGTTCAAAAATCCTATACCCAGTTTGAAATGTCTGTTTTGAAAAAAATGGATAAATAGCGTTCACTTATTTTCACATAGGAATATGAATGTCAGTTTGCAAACGGGATTGCCTGCTGGTACCTACTGCGATGTTATTTCTGGACAAAAGGAGGGCAATAAATGTACTGGAAAACAGGTGTACGTTTCTGGTGATGGAATGGCTAATTTCCAGATTAGTAACAATGCTGAAGATCCATTCGTTGCAATTCACGTTAATGCCAAGTTATAACTCAGTTGAAAATGTGTTTCTTCCATTGGTCTGTATATTTACTGTTTCCCCCACATGCGATTCCCTGGTATTCGAGCATGAGTGATTCTCTGTAGTGAATAATAAATGGCAATCAAATTGAAAAGTGATGTTTTTTCCCTTAATGACTTGGACTGCAACTTTATCACGTCATAACTAGTGGCAATGCAGCGGTGAGTTTTAAGGCAATCCAGCACTCCATTTCCCACATCACAGAAACAGGCGAAAATAAAATAAAAAAAAAAACAAAAACAAACCAAACCAAACCAACACCTGGGTAAGTTAAAATGCAGTGTTTCCAAGGCCGGTACATACACACACATCTGTATGCCAGAGCAGCCACATTGAGGGCAGTCACCTATGAGCGGTGCCCACGCACGCAGACAGTTTATCTGTTTCTTGCGACAAACCAAACCCGGGGTCTGGGTCATCAGAGGAAGCTGGGCCGCACCAATCAATTATTCCAGCCTGTGACATCACCCAAGCGAGCGGGTTGCCTGGTTCACAGTCAGCTTGTGCCTGTACAAATCAAAACCACAGCTCTTCCATCGTTAACGCCAGTGTCTTGCTGCAAACTAGCGTTCACGGTGGCTGTTCCAAAGGCGTCCGAGAAATGAGCTGTATAGCCAAGCACCGCTTAGACCTCGTGACAGAGGCTGAAGCACAGCATATTCTTGTCTCTGTGGTGCATTAGGCTTGCTTATTCTGTAATAGCTTGGAGAATTACGCAGCTGGAGCACCGACTTGGCGGCTTTCCCAATTTCATTCAGTCGTGAGAAAATGCTGAGGTAAATGCGAGAGTGCAGCCCTTGTGTTAAATCAGGACGTCTGCTTGGCCAAAAGTACTCATTGCGACCCATTCTGGAGGGGCAAACGGAAGAGGAATGCTCGGATTCAGTGTTTTTGAAGTGAGGGTGTGGGAGTAAGGGGCCAGGTAGTGTCCCTGGCCCAGAGGCTGGACCTGCCATCTGTCTCCCTTGCTTGCTGTGGCCAGCTCCGCCATGCTGAGGGCAGGGGGCCTGCTGGCAGAACGCAGCCCCCTGATCCGCTCACTGGAGCGGTGTCAAAGTTTGGGAGACCCATGTGGCAGGAGGTTAGCAGCCATTGCAAACCTGTTGTTTACCCCAGGGTCAGGTCAGGGAGCCCTCCTGCCCCTTTGAAATAGATTGGTACTGCCTGCTCTTTCTGGGTTACTGTACCCTTGTTTGTTTAAGCTATGCATTCTGCTCTAACCCTCAGAAACTGTGTGATTCTATGCGAGCTATTATTCAGACATTACCTAATTTCAAATGTAACAGTCAGTCTACCCTCAAAATTATAAATCCTCCCCCAAGCCCCCCCAGCTATGGTGGCAAATGATTGAAATGACAGACATTGATCTGAGGTGTCCATAAATAAACAGGAGGTGCTGAATATGTAGAAGGATTTGTCTGTGCCTGTGAACATATGTGGATCCACTTTTCAATTATGCTGGAGTGCAGTGAGGATTTTGCCTGATGTAGGTTCAGTCAGCTCTGCATTTAACAGGGGAATTAAATACAACATGGAGAAAAAAAATCACGAGACAATTTCCTTCAATGTAAGCAAAACTTTGTGGGCCAGATGTTCACTGCTCTGAAAGGACCAGACCTGCATCCAGACTTTGTTTTTTGTTCCTTTTATTTCAAGCTTTTTGGCACATTGCCTGATAATTTTAGCACAAAGAAGATGCAGAAAACAACAGTGTCATTCAGAGCAACACCAGGTCTTTCCGATGAGTCATGAAACCCAGAGTTACAGTCAGCTTTTCTGTTGATTTTTAAGTTTTTCAAAAAAATTTTTAGTACTAGGAAATTTTTATCATCATTTTTATCATTTTTATTGCTACTCTCATATGGAAAGTGATGTCACTATGGTCTTAATTTTGTATGCCAGTAATGAATGAAAATTTGAAGTCCTGTTATGAAATTTATCAAGTTTAAAGTAAGGTATTTTCTGGGGTGCAACACGATGTCTAACAGATTTGCTGACGGGTAAGATTTTAGAATTTTGTGGACGTTATGCAATATTTCATTTTCTGTTGCAAAGTAGTCCTCACTTTCATTGGCCAAACAATGAGTTTAATTGAGTAATGTCAAAACCTGTTCTAGGCTGATGTTCTAAATTTTGTTGCAATATTATCAGTCTCAAGCATTCCAAAATAATATCTCAAACCCTAGAAAATCTGAGATTTGGAGTGGTTTTTTATTTTCACTCCAAGTTTTGCATTTTCCAGGTACGCTCTTTTCTTGTTTTTATATTTTATTTTGAAATTTGATCTAGAATTAAGCATGGAAAAAGCTTCCAAACCTAACCAGTGGGGATTAAGCACAGAAAAAGAAATATTTCCATTTTTAGGGATATACCATGTAGCTGATGATTGGAAGAACCTTGACTATGAGAAAAGGTAAATACTGTTACCTTTTTCACATAGTATCAGGTTATCAGACTGGTTTTAAAGTGAATGGAAGAAAGATGATAGATGATAGTAATAGATTAGTCTTCCTTTGGGATCTGTGAGATTTCTCTTCCAGAGAAATTTAAGTAGTTCTGTTATACAATTTCTTTTTCAGTTCCTTCACTGCAGAAGAGAAGTTTTGCTTTTCCTGCTCTTCTGCCTCTTCTGTCACATGCCGAGTACCATTTCAAATCTAGTCAGCTCCTCCTTTGTGCTCTATGGAGAGCTCAGAGGAACTGTGTTAGATTCACCAGCCATGAAGAGGGAATGCTCTTCCTATTTGTTCAGTTTGTGAGACAAGAAACCCATATGAAACGTTGCAGTCCAGATAAGGGGCATTTTCACCTCCACTGTTTCAATAATTTGATTTTTTTGTAGAAATATTGTGTCCTCTTGGATAATGTAGAAAACAAACAATCCCCAAAGATTTTATGGAAGCTTTTGCATTTATGGTACACCAAATGGTAAAGTAACTTAGCTACTGATGGTGAGTGTTGAGGAAACCTTTAACTAAAGAGCAAGCCAGATATTTTCTTTATACTGTGCTGGACAAAGAATGGAATGAGACTGTAACTACTGTCCTGTAACTACCTTCTTCAAGCAATATGAAGCCTACAATGGTATGATTTGGAATAGCTACATTTCATAGGTACCATAATTCAAACTAAGCAGAACTTTCTATATATCAACGTTGTTCAAGCATGGTTTGTTTTGTGCCATACAACATATGGAGGCATTTAAGAGAAGTAGACTGGAACAGAAGGAAGATCAATGAAGAGAGAATTAATTTACAGTGTAGGTATGAGAAAAATTCCTTGACTCATTTCACCCAGATGGTCTATAAGTACCCATTGTTGGCAATGATATCACTTAGAGAACATTTTAGGGACAGTAGTTAAATGGTTTTACAGAGAAAGTTTAAGACTTTACCAATTCTTGTTGTAAACTTTATTATGGTCCTCTAGTTGACCATCTTAACTTCTGTCGATTCTACACTAAGAAAGTTTTGGGGCTGGTGTTAGATCCTGAACAGTTAACACTAGCAAAATCAATGAGTAATAATTTATATTTGCCTCATTTAATTGGTTGTACTTTTGTATAATTGGGTGAGAAAGAAAGTAATGATGTCCTTTGCTTTCTAAATAAATGTAATGAGGTGTTTTAATTGTAGTGGGGTGGGAAAGGCAATGGAATGTTGTCAGTTTTGTAAGTATGAAACACTTATTGTTCACTTAAACTTCTGACAACCAAAACACGGAAAGAGAACAAAAAAATGAAGGATAGCAATAAATGTCATTTTCTTGTTATGTCCATTTGTTTTGGCCATGTGTTCTCTGAATACGTGTAAACACAGCACACTGCACTGAATTAAGCAGAACACAGTGTTTTACTAGTGGAGAAGCTATCTAGGTAAGTTATAAATTAGACATCTTTAATATTATCAGTATATTATGTGAGGAAAGTATAGAAATGTCCTCACAAAAGGGAAGTTCCTCAGTCCCCTTAGAACCTAACAAACATGAAATGTTGAGCCTAGAGCTATATGAGCTATTATGCTCTAAATTGTCAGCTATTGTGTTGCTTGATCTGGTCACAGCAGTATTGTATTTTTGGTGACTATGGTATAATACTTTTACTTATGCTGACTAAAACAATAGTCATCAAATTGAAGGCATCAGCATCTGCAAGCATTTCCTTTAGAACAAGGAACAATTATTCACTACTGAGCTGTGCAACTTTTCTGAACTACCTGTGTAGCTTTCTGTGAATATTGGTTAAACATGTTCTCAGTAAGGTCAGTTTTAATGAATCAGTGTCAAATCCCATATTTTATCTGACTACAAGGGAAAGCAAAGCAAAGTATTCCATGTGGCTCAAAGACAAGGATGTGGCTCAAAGAAAATGTGGTGTAATAGTTCACCTTTCTCTATTTGACTACTATGGCATTGTTTATACCCATACAATTAAAAACCTTAAAAGCATGTTTCCTGTTCCTTTTTTATAACCAAGAAATGCAAAACTAATAAAACCAGCAGACTTAGCATCTTGGTGGCCATAACTACATCCCAAAATGAGACTGCCTAAAAGACCTGTTAAAAGCATAGTGTGGCATTTTATTGACCTTCTGCATATCTATTCACCCAAAAGCAGAAAATGAATAGCTCTTAAAAAAATATATCCTGTCAAAAGTTTCACCCACTTTGAACCGAGTGAAATGTTGCGTTCTTGAAGTAAAAGTCAGTGAAAAAATGCCACTTGCTATATTTAGCCAAGAGCTCTTCAATTTAAGTAGCCATTTGACCATGGCAGAATCTCAAGAGCTGGAGATGGCTAGTTTCTTTGTTCATTCAAAAATATATTGCAAGTAATACCATATAATACAAGTTCACAAACATTAGTCATTTCAAATAATGTATATTTCATGGCTTCATTTGTTAGCCTGTGCGTTGAACATCATAGTTGTTTCTTGCATAATTTTTTATTACTAGTTTTATCCATATGTATTAGAATTCTGCACCCAAAAATCAGATTGTTGTAATCACAGAACAT